GGCCATTGCTCCAACTCACTGAAACCTCTTTCCTGCAGGAGGTGTTGGAACTGGCCTTCTCCATCCTGTACGACCCTGACGAGACCCTAAACTTCATCGCACCTAATAAGTACGAGGTGAGCGGCGTGGCACTGCCTTGCACAGCCCAGCCCCCTGCGGTTCCTCAGCAGGAGGCGAGGAGCGGGCAGAACAGGAAATGCCCAGTCCCTAAGGGCAGGAAGCCGCAACGCTGTCGGACACTGAGAATGTGCCAGCGGGGGGTCCTTTTCCCCAGAGCCAGGCCCTCAGGTCACCCTTCAGCAGTAGCTATAGGGGGTCTTAGAAAGATGGGCCAGCTAGGAATAACCTGTTTGCCTGGGAGTAGGGAAATTTTCCTCTTTTCCGTTTGTGTGGCCACCTACCCCAGCGAACCTGACAGACCTCAGGGCTCCTGCCGAAGGGGTAGATCTGGCCTGGGCTTTGAAGCCAGATGGCTTTGTCTTGCTGTTGACACAGGCCTACAGTTTCGTTGGCAGCACAGAAGCCATGAGATGTTGCCTGACTCACTGCGGTTGAAACCATATGGGTCTGGGGAGCTCTGAGAGCCATCGGAGGAAGCAAGAGGCGGGGCTTCTGGAGGAAGAGACACTTAGGCGGGGCCAGAGCTGCCAGTGGGGGGCGGGGGAGGGGGAGTGAAGCACTAGCAGGTGGGGAGACAGGTGAGAAAAGGCACCAGGAAAAGATATAACAGGTTAGGGAGGGGTGGGCTGACAAGTCCCTGTTACTCCCTGCTCTCCTGACACCCTCAGGTTTCACTTCTCTGGTATTTAATTTCCACATTTATTGACTGGGTGTTCTTCAGTGCACTTCGTGTGAGGTCCCCAGTGGTTGCTTTCGTGTCCCGCTTTCTCACCTACCGGGTATTCTCCCTTCCCCTATTACTAATTTCAGGAGCAGTTTCAGGAACCTGATGCCTGGGTGCTCAGGTCTTCTTGTGCTGTATTCTGTAATTGCATTTTTCAAAATTATACTTTATAATATCTTTGGGAGCTTAAATGTCAGTCCGTCATAAAAACCAAAAGGTCTTTTGAGAAAGGGAGTGACCAGCCCCCAGCTTCTCCTTGTTATCCCAAGTCAGAATTGCGTCTCCGAGTAGGGCCCAAAGAGACCGGTGTGGACCCTAGAAAAGGGACCTCGGCGGGCCCTCCTGCTGGCTAGGGGCCGCCAGGTGATGCTTGGCAACTTGCTGTTCCTAGTACTGCATCTGGATTGACGGCCTCAGCGCCCTTCTGGGGAAGGACATGTCCAGCGAGCTGACTAAGAGTGACCTGGACACCCTGCTGAGCATGGAGATGAAGCTGCGGCTCCTGGACCTGGAGAACGTCCAGATTCCCGAGGCCCCCCCACCGGTGCCCAAGGAGCCCAGCAGCTACGACTTCGTCTATCACTACAGCTGAGCCTGCAGCCGCCGGCAGCGCTGCCCAGGAAGGGATCTGGGGCCCAGAAGAAACACTCTGGTCTGGTGCCTTGTCCTTTGCTTGTACAGAATCTGTAGTGACCGTGGTGGCCAGTAAACACCAACCATTCCTCCAACCCACCTCAGACCACCCAGAGCTTCCTCCGGGACCCCGTCTCCTGGGAGTCGTGAAGGCAGGTGCTCTGGCTTCCCCAGCACCGGAGCCTGGGTCCGGGCCATGAGGAATGAGCAGCAGATGCCCTTGCTCTTCAGGCCGAGAAACTGCTTCTGGAGGTGGATTTGACAAAAGCCACTCACCTTTTCTTCCTGAGCCTGCTCTCCAGTGGTCAGCTGTCTCCCCGTGTGGGCAAGAGCTGCCTGCAGAGGACCGACGTGTTGGGAGCCTTGGAGAGGCCGCCTTTGGCGGGCCCGTGCCTGCCTGTGTCAGACCTAAGCAGAGGCCTTGCCCTTGCTTGCGTCGTCTTTGTGAGGGCTCTCTCCGGCCTCACGCAGGGCCCACAGGCTGCTGCTGCTGCTGCTGCTGCTGCTGCTGAGGTGCGTCTCTAAAGCCCTGGCCTCCGGAGCCACCAGCCCTCTCGCCCACGCAGTTGTCTGGGCAGATGGTGATTTCTACCTACAAGCTCCCAGTCCGTCATCTTGGCAAGTCAGAGTCAGGAGGGCTGAGTCCCACTCTCTTAGTCTCAAGGAACTCTGCGGGAAGAGCCCAGATGAGCCCGGGCCTAGGCTGGTGAGGTCAGGTGAAGCCACCCCCCTCCCCCCACACATCCATCTTCCCTTCCTCTGGGAGAGCTCTCCCACTGAACCTGAAGTGTGTCCCCCTCCGGGTGGCTTTCCTTTGGCCTTCCAGACCTCCCCATCCCAGCGCTGTGGTTCCTCCCTTGGGCCATGATTTTAGGGCGCTGGCCGAGGCCACAGCTGTGCCAACGGGGCATCCCTGGTGCTGCCGCACTTGTAAACCACACGCACAGCCTCTCTCCTTGGACGTCTGTCAACCCAGCATTCAGTATTGGTAGCCCGGCATGGTAGGTCCTACCCAATGAAGAGTGTACTATATATTTTCTTTACTATAGGCCATACTTATACAGACGTGTATATATATTTATATATAAGCTCTCCCTATCCTAGAATGGAATGTTTAAGGGGAAATAAAATTGGAGGCAAAAAAAAAAATAGTAACACTTCCAGTTGTGAGCCAAGACTGTACAGCCTGCGAGCAGCCAGGAGCTTCCTGTTAGTAACCATGTTTTCAATAAATACTCTTTCATGTACAAACTGCGGTTCCTATCAACAGCTCTTCCTCTGTTCCTGGTTTCCTGCCAAAGGGAACTTGCACCTTGACACGCCTTCACTGCATTGTGCTGGGGAGACTTTGGAGGGCTGCAGCTGGAGTCCTCAGCCCCCTCCCGAGAGCTACTTTCTCCTCCTCAACCAGCCTGCCTCTACACCCGCCCCCCCCACACACACACATACCTGCTCACAGATGTCACATCCCGACCAAGTGCTCTCTGCTCAGGCCTGCTGGGTGCATCAGGGAAAGGCATACTGCACACTCCTGCGAACACATCTTCCTGCTTCCTCCTGCCAGGGACGCAGCCAGGGAACAGCTCGAGTACTTGTACCTTACAAAGAAGACACGCTCTTCACCCTTTGTGTCGCCGTGCTTAGTGCCCAGCCTTCCAGCTGGTGTCTTGGGCTGTTGCTGCAAACCTCAGCCTTGGTAGCTGGGAGGCTTGAATGAGGGCCGTGATGGAAATACTTTCTCTTGCCTCAGAGAAAAGGGGCAAGGACAAGCTCTTTCAAAAGGCATAGAAAGTGCGTGCAGTACAGGCCTTGAGGACTGAGACCTTGGGCAGCGATGGGTGCAATTATAAGTGACAGGTAAGCGTAGAATGAACTAATGCCTGTGAAATGCCAGCTGCTGCTGGGGGTGGGGGGACCGGGAAAGCAGCAGTTTGCATAATAAACTGCTTACATTCTGGCCTTGAACCTTCGTTCAGAGGGGCCAGGGAGCTCAGCTAAGTCAAGGATCCACATTTGCAGCCAGTCTTAGCCCAGGAGGTGGGTTGAGGTGGAAGGGGAGCAAAAAGCCTCAAAGCGGTCCTCCATCTGCAACCCTGGCCTGCCCTGGCCTCCAAATGGACCTCCCTGTCTGCTGGCTCTGCCTCTAATCCATCCTACAACGTGAGTTAAGACCTAAGCTCCCTAGCTGGCATTTTGGGGCCACTGCATCCTGCCCCTTGGCTACTTTCCCAGCCATGGTTTTTATTCTTATCCCCTCCCCGTTTCCTCCGAGACAAGCTCTTTCCCCTTACGTGACCTATTGAAATTGAGATCGTTCTTACAAAGTTTCTGGCACATAGAAAATGGCTCACAAATGTTTATTATTTACTACCTCCCATGGATTTTCTAACTCCTGGAATGTAATGCCCTAACTGAGCATTCCCCAGCCGGCTTGAGCAACCAGAAGAAAAAGCCCGTGAGAGATTTATCTCTGCTTTTTTACATGGTTGCCCAGCACCAGCTTGGAATAAAGTAAACAATTCGTTCAACGGAAGTAAATAGGTGACTATTTTCTGGGTCCCCGCGGGGCTCTGCAGCAGGCACCGGCTCCAGAACGAGGCCGGATTGAGCGCAAGGAGGATAAATGCCTACAGCCTGAGGGGGTGTCCGGTGCCCGACTCAAGGAATGCTACCCGTGGAGAGCACCCACCGACGGGGGTCCCCGCGGGCAGTAAGCCGAGAAGGCACCTACGCCCCGCCCCGCCATGGGCAGCCGGCCCCGCCCCCAGCGGCTTCTGGCGGAAATGCTCCTCCCGATCCCGCAGCTCCGGGCCTTGCACTTCCGGCTGGAGGAGCCCGGCGGGAGCACCCGCCGCCGAGGTGAGTGGAGTGCGGCTGGACCCCAGGCGCCCTCGGGAGCCGGTGCCTGGCCGGACTCTGTGCGCCGCGGCGTAGGGCGCGTGCCTAGACTCCCGCCCGCCGTGGAGGGGCCCGGGCCTCCGCGCGCCCCCTCGGCCGCCTTCCGCGCGCGCGGCCCTGGGTATTTCCTGAGTTCCCTCGACCCAGACGGGAATCGCAGCTGCAGGGCTGTGCCCACGGAGGGGCTGCATCCCGCGGTGGGGTGGGAGTGGGGAGCCGACAGTGAACTCGTGGGCAGATGAGAAAAGGTCAGGTGGTGGGAGGTGCCAAGAGGACGAGGAGGGGGCTGGCGTGGGGAGAGCCCCCACGCCAAGGTCTGCGGAACAGTGTTGTAGGAGAGGAACAGCAGGTGCGAAGGACGCAGGCCTGCTGTGTTTGACAGATGGCCAGGGCCCGCGAGCTGGGTGCCGAGTACCGGATGCCAGGGGAGTGATGGGAGAACGAGGTCGCCGATGCCTGCGCCGGCCAGGTGCTGGGTCCTGGTGGGCCCTGGTGGGCCTTCTGAGGAGTTGCGGTTTGAGACGTGGCTGATGGTCTGCTTTCGGTTCTGAAAGCTTTTGGAAGGGGTGGAGTTCAGGGGCACCACATCGGGAACTGTTGCAGTCAGTACTTGAAAAGTAATCGTGGCTTGGGGCTGTGATGGCGGAGTAGAGGCCAAGAGCGCAGATGAATGAAGGAGTTTGTTGGGATGGCCCTGACGGGACAGGATTTGAGGGAAGAGGGAAAGAGGCATTGACTTGGAGGTTTAGGCTGACGTAACCAGATGTGTTATGCTGGCATTTACTAATGATGTTGTGGGCATGAATCAGGGAATCGAAGAGTTTTAGGTTCAAGTTAGATGTACCAGCCTGGAGTTTGTAGGAAAGGTTAGGGCTAGTGCAAGGAATTTAGACACCATTGGCCTGCCAGTCAGCTGGGCTGAGATTACACAAGAGGAGAATGAAGATAAGAGAGGCCACGGTCCTCAGGCACCCAGCGCTTACAGGTTGTGTGGACTGAGAGGGAGTCCAGAAAAGCAGAAGGCCGCCTAGAGGGTATGGTGTGGCATCCAAGAGGTTTTCCCAGGAAGAGGAAGGGGTCAGATGTTTAAGATGCCGATGAGACCAGCGACTTGGCCCTTGAAGGAGGAACAAGGAGGAGGGCGTGGTGACGCAGTGGGACAGGCTGGGGAAGTTTCACTCTGAGGGGACCGAGAAGGGAATAAGCCCCTACGTGAGGCACCATCACAGGCTTTACCTGATGCCACCGACTTCCCTCCCAGGAGGTTCCTGATTCATCCTCCTTTGCAGGTGAGAAAGTTGAGACCTGGAAGTCAGGTAGCTTCGGGTCAAGAAGTAGCTAGTAGGGAAGCCATGGCTGGATCCCAGGCTTTCCCCAGTCCAAGCCCACCCTTCTGAGCACTAAGCTGCATGGCTCATGTCACACTTGGGGTGATTTAGGGGAGCTGGGTGCCCTGGTGGTGCACCAGGCGATGCTGCTGCTCCGACCTGCGCTGCCCCCTGAGGAAGCAGGGCAGAGCGAGGGATTCCTTTCCTGAGCAAGCGAGATTTGAAAAAGGCACTTGCTCCTTTAAGGCTGGTTTCCTTTATCATGAAATAAGGGTGGGGACCTTATCAGTCAGGGTCTCTATCTCCAATGTTAGATGTGGGAGAGTGCTTAATAAGTGCACAGTGAGTAAGTGGCCAGATGATTTCCAAGAGCCCTCTTCGCTGAGGTCTGGTTTTGTGTTGGGGTTCAGCGACCTTCCAAGTGATAATAAGAGAAGGAGTGTTAACTTGGAGACAGTGCTCCCTGGGGTCTGGGTCAATCATGAGGACTTCCTAGAGGTGGGAGACTTGGTCTGGGCCTTTGAAGGAAGGGCAGGACTTGAATGGGGGGGGGGGGGTAGAGGGCCGAGGGCACTGCAGTGTTGGGGCAGAAACAGCAGCAGACGCAGAGGTACAGAGGGAACAGACTACCCTGGCCTGGGAGCCGTGGGTAGGAACCGCGGGGAGTGAATGCTAGAAAGAAGATCCCTTAGTGCTGGCGGGCCCTGCGGTCACCCGTGTAGTGTTAGCGGTCCTCTACAGGGAGCAGTTTTGCCCCCAGGTGACATTGGGCAATGTCTGGGGACATTCTTGTCTGTCATTATTGGGACGAGGGGCAGGGCTACTACAGGCATTTACTGGGTAGAGACCAGAAGTGCTGCTAAGTGTGGCACAGTGCGCAGGGCAGGGCTCGTCTCCACAACGTGGTCTCTGGCTCCAATCCCAGCAATGCCATGGGGGTGAAGCCCAGTCTGGAGGACAGAGTGTGGGCCTCGAGGTCAGTTAGACGCCACCCCAGCTGTGATAGCCACTGGACGCTGACTGTGGGGGTGCAGAGAGAACTGCATGGAAGACTGATGCGTCGTGTTGGGGGGAGAAAGCATGGTGGCCTGGATGGTGGCGGTGGAGGCCAAGAGATGTGATCATATTGGGGATATTTCGGGGAGATAGCTCTGACCGTGTTTGTTGATTGAAATCCGTGGACTGAGGGGAAAAGGAATTGAGGATGAGAACACAGTTAATGGCCTAAGCAACTGGGTGAATGAACGGTGGCTCCACTGGCTGAGATGGGAAGAGGAGCAGGTTTGGACAGAGGGCAGGTGATTCCTGGAGCATAGCAGTCTGTCCCAGACAGGCTGGGTGTGCGGCGCCCGACGTTAGCCGTCCGAGCGAAGAGACAAGTAGGCAGCTGGGTGTTTGGCATCCAACAGGGAGATCAGCTTTCAGAAGGCATTTCAAGGGGTGGGCCCACCTTAGGCCCAGTAGCACCTTGGTTCTCAGCGTCATGGAGGCAACACCCTCTTTTTAATGATAAATATGTTGTTAACAGTGTTCCCCCCTTTTTACCTTAAGATGAAACCTGTGGTTCAAAAAATACTGCCTACACATAAATTTATAAAAATTGGCTGTTCCCTCACCATAATGTAAAAGAGGAATAAAAGGAAGCCATTGGTAGTAAAATGTTTCAATATGTAAGTTCCCGGGCAGGCACAGGATACTGGAAGCTACAATGAAGCAGGGGTGCTCTCCCCGCCCCTGCAGAACCTCTGGGAGGGCAGGGCCCACCCCCGTGTCTGGCAGCCGCTCAACCTGCTTTGTGCTGGGTCTTCTCCAGACGGGAGCTTGTAGTGCCCATTGTATCAAAAACAGTTCCCTCTCCCCCTGGCGTACGTGGTAAACGTGTTCTCGGAAATGTCAGTGCCTGGGAGAGCCATGGGTAAAGCTGCTCTGTTACCGGCGAAACAGAGTTAGGTTCTGGGTTCGGGGAATTACAAGCAGGTCTTTCACCTACTGGAATCTCGAAGTCACGCAGGATGCAGGACATTTCTGGGTTTCGTGGACCACCCCCTCACGGTCCCTGCTCACTGAAAGCCAGGGGTGCCCCCCACAACACCACCATGGGTTTCCAAAGTTCCCCTGAAGAGAACCCGAGCCCTAGGGTGTCCTTTGGGACATGAACCTTGTTCCAGCTCCCAGTTGGCCGGGCGGGGAGGGAAGTGATGACCCAGGTTCCAGAGTACAGCGCCAACGTAAACAGTCCCTTCAGAAAGGACCGGGGAGGGGAGGTTGGGGTAGGCCTGATCTCGTGGTGCCAGGAAGGCCTTGAGGGGGTGGCATTCCAGCAGGGTGGGACCGTCTCAAAGGAGGAGACGGGAGGAGGGGCGCAGATGAAGCAGTAGGCGGGATAATGCTGGACTGGGGGGTGCACCAGGTCTCCCCGGGGCCTGGCATGCTCTGGGCACTCCCTGGGGTTGGCTGGGTGATGGGGGGCCAGGGAGGGGCTTGGTTTGACACAAACCTAAGCAGGGTCCTTGTCTGTGAGAGTGGCTGTCAGGGACTGGGGCCAGGCAGGCGCGTGTTTCCCAGGCCATTTTTAACTCCTGAGACCAGACTAGTCCCCAAAACCCACAGGCCCACTGTCTCGCAGTGAGGCATCACTGTACAGAGACCGTAGAGTGGGTTGGGGGGTGAACGGAGGGGGTAAGGCTAGCAGGGACGTGGGAGCCTTCCAGGGGACACTGACATCACTCACGTTTTCACACCCTGCACAAGTTGGATGAAGGAATCATAGGGGAGCTGCGAGAGCAGCCTTCCCATGCGGGGGGGGGGGGGGGAGGCTGGGCTGAGGAAGCAGCATTTGAGGTGAAGCTGAGTAGATCTGCTGAGAAAGTCGGGGGCGGGGACAGAGCACTAGGTCCCTGGAGGCAGCAGGAAGGAGCCTGGCTGGTTGGACTAGGGCGCCAGGGCTGCAGCGGAGCCGGAGAGGCCGGTCGGCCCTTTTGGCCACAGGAAGGGTTTTGATCTGTATCTCCAGAGCACTGGAAACCACCCAAAGGGCTTTGAGCAGTGGTCTGACATGACCGGATTCACGTTTTAAAAGGTCACCTCGGTAATTCAAGGAGAACAGCTTGAGGCGAGGAGACGGCGGATGTGGCAGGGCGCTCTGCTCTGCTCGCTGGGGCTGGGCTCCTCCCGCTGTCCCGTGCGCCCCGTCCACTCCCTGCGGGACAGGCACGGGGCGGGTGGGCCCGGCGGCCTTCACTCGGCCCGGACCACCAGAGCTGCCTTCCATCCTTCTAGCCCCCAGACCTGGGGCCCCACGAGCCCTGCAGACGGTTCACCATGGCCAGGTTCAGCTCGGGCCCCCAGCCCCTCGGGTGAGGCTCCGCCTGGGGCTCCGAGAACCACCCTGAATCATGGGGGTGAAGAGAGCTCCGAGCAGACGACGATCTTGGTGAAAGTCGAGGCCCAGGCCCAGCGGCTCTTCCTGCAGCCCGTCTTCAGGAGAGGCGCCTGCCCCCACCGGCCCCGGCTGGGGGTTGCCACTGCCCCGGATGGGGAGGTGGGCCCTGGACGTGGCCTTTGTGTGGAAGGCGGTGTTGACTCTGGGGCTGGTCCTTCTCTACTACTGCTTCTCCATCGGCATCACTTTCTACAACAAATGGCTGACGAAGGTAACTCAGGAAGACCTGTGGTGCTGGGGCGGGGAGTGGGGCTGGGAGGAGGGGCCTGGGGCCACAGTGTCCCTAATATTTAGCAACAGGAAGGCATGGGCCTCCACCAGTCACCCTGGAAGCCAGTCACACTAGCGATAAGACGGGGGCCCTACAGCCAGCCCTGCCACACCAGGGGTTCCCCTGAAATGTTTGCATACAGCAGAAATGGGGATGGGGGAGGGGGCTGGTGCACAGAGATGCGCTGGAGAGACTGGGGGGTTGGGCAGCAAGCAGCTGCCGACCAACAGGGAGAAAAGTCACCCCGTGCTCTACTAATTGCCATGGCCATCCTGGCCCACACTGGCTGTTACCCGGGGTGAGCTGTGAGCAGGGGCTGGCGCAGGTAGCTAACAGGTGGCTGAAGGGGTGCGGACAGCACCCAGCTCACAATGAGCCCTATTCTTCCATCCGCTGTGTGTGCAACCTCCAAAACTGGGGCTCAGTCTCTCCTGATCGCAATGTAGGTAAAAGTCCTTAGGAAGCACCGAGGTTGCCCCAGGGCCACCAGGTAGAGGTGGGTGTGGGGGAGCAGAGAGGGAGCCAGGTGAGGGCTGGCTGTGCAAACCTCGCCTGGACCGGCTGTGCTTTGGGCCGCGCAGAGCTTCCACTTCCCCCTCTTCATGACGATGCTGCACCTGGCCGTGATCTTCCTGTTCTCCGCCCTGTCCCGGGCGCTGGTTCAGTGCTCCAGCCACAGGGCCCGCGTGGTGCTGAGCTGGCCCGACTACCTCAGAAGAGTGGCTCCGACAGGTGTGTCTGTGGGGAGGGCCGGCGGGCGGGGGGATGGTTACTCTGGAAGCCAAAGGCCAGGAGCAAAAGAAAGCCTTCAAGCCTTCAAGAGGCTTGAATTGAGGCTCTTTCCCTGCCCCCCCCCCCCCCGTGTTTCCTCACTCCTCTCTTCCTTTTCTTCCTGCCCTCCCCACCCGCACTTCTGCTTCTGACATACTCCCCCTCACACCCCCCCACCCCTTGGAGAAGCCCCAGTGCAGCAGTGGCTTTGTCGTTCCCTTGCCCTTGAACATGTGCACTGAGCTGTGTTCCCAGAGCTAGTGCTGGGCAGAGGGGAAGTGAGCCGGACTGGGCTAGGCTGGGTACTGGGCTGGGCAGGTTCCCCAGACAAGGGCTGAGGTGGCCGAGGCCTGGAGGGCAAGCAGGGCCAGCAGGTCCTGGGAGGGAGAGGTTTGGTGTGTGCGATGGCCCAAAAGAAAACCTGAGAGTGTCCCAGGTGGTGAGGACTGGGCCTTGGTGAGCGGTCACTGGGAAAATGAGAAGCAGGGAGGGGTCTGGTCCTGGAGGGCCAGGTTCTCAGGATCAGATTGACAACTGTCATTGGGGGGTGTTCAGGATAGTGGGCAAGTGATAACAGCACAGGCCCCTGCCAGTCAGAGGGCCACAGCCTGGACGCTGGAGCAGGCCCTTTCCCCTAGTTTTTGGCATGGAGTTAATATTTCTTCTTATACTTTTTTCTTTTTAATCCTCCCTGAGGATATGTTCACTGATTTTTAGAGAGAGGGAGAGGGAGGGAGAGAGAGGGAAAAAAACATCAGTGAGAGAGAGAAACATCAGTCGGCTGCCTCTCGAATGAGCCCCTACTGGGGGACCAAAAGAGCAACCTAGGGACGCGGCCTGAACCCTCAGCCTGACCTCTGGGTTTGCCGCACAGTCACGCTCCAACTCCACCCATTGAATCTCACCGGCCGGGGCCAGGAGTTCACCATTTCGATGCTGGGTGGAAAGGAAGGCCCTCGGGCCCCCGTAGAAAGCTGGGGTGAGCAGGGCCAAGCTGGAGGCACTCGAGTGCCTCGCGGCCGTGCTCTGGTAACTGGTGTCCCCACGCCCCCTACGCTTTGTCCCCCACGGTCCTGTGAGCGCCCCTTTCCTCCACAGCACTGGCAACGGCGCTGGACGTGGGCCTGTCCAACTGGAGCTTCCTCTACATCACCGTCTCACTGTGAGTGTCGGCCACGCCCGCCCCTTCCACAAGTCCGCCACCAGTCTCTGGGACCAGCCCTGCTCTGGCAGCTGCGCCCTGACACCCAGCAGCTCTCCAGAAACTCGCCAGCCTCGCCCTTTAGCTGGGCACACAGGGGATGCAGTGCCTGCTCAGTGGTTGGGGAGGCCAGGGCTCCGTCAGACAGGACAGGTGTGGTGGGGGAGGAAGGGCAGTGCCCACGGCCACATGGAGGGAGGCGGGACAGCGACTCGTCATGTCCGACTCTGTGCCCAGGAGCAGTCACTTGGCCTCCTCCTCCCGCCCTTTTTTCCTCCCCCCACAACTCCACTGGGGGGTAGGTAATAATAGGCCTGGTGAGCGCCTTGCTGGACCTGCAGCCAGTTCTCCCTAGGATAATGAGAGGCTCCCTAGAGATTTCTTTCAATTAAAGGTCACGTTCCAGCACAGATGACTCAGGCCACCTTCTGCCGTCTTTTGTGCCCGACTGCACTGCTCCCCTGAGCGGAGCCAGTACCCTCGGGGAAGTCAGGAAGCTCCACCCCTCCTCCCTCTCAGCCTACCAATGGTGCTGTGAGCTCCTCTCTCTAGGCGGGTCTGAGCCCTGGGCTCCAGCCACACGTTGTGGTGATTCTGATTTTCACTTCCAGGTACACGATGACCAAATCCTCAGCCGTCCTCTTCATCTTGATCTTCTCTCTGATCTTCAAGCTGGAAGAGCTGGTGAGGCCCAGTATCACCCCTGCCCTTCCTGCCCCCACAGATGCTGAGCACAGAATGGGGAGGGTCTGAGCAGTGGCTGGTCACTACGTGACAGAAGAAACCAGCCCCGCCAGGTGGCAGAGACTCCCGTTGCTGAGGAAGAACGTGGGACTGGACGCTGCTGAGAACGTTTAGAAAGTGTGGAGGGGGGTTAATGACCAAAGGCAGAAAGACTCAGGGAAGAGAGCCCCGTGTGGGTCAGGCTGGGTCAGAGGCCCCCTGCTGTGTGAGGCGGTACCCTTTGTTTCCCAGTCCTGGGGGGGAGCGAGGCCAGGTGGGGGCCTAGGACAGCCCTAGCAAAGCACCTCCACGGTTTAGGGCAGGTAGGGGTGCTGGGGACGTGCCAGCTGAATCGGCCCTGCAGACATCCACGGGAAGCAGCTGGCCGTGGGAGCAGGAGGGACGGCAAAGACCGGCCGCTGGCCCTCAAGCTGCAGGTGTGATGACCTCAGACTCTCAAGTTAGATGCCCCCTGCTCTCCCTCCTGGTAGCGTGCGGCGCTGGTCCTGGTGGTCCTCCTCATCGCGGGGGGCCTCTTCATGTTCACCTACAAGTCCACGCAGTTCAACATGGAGGGCTTTGCCTTGGTGCTCGGGGCCTCATTCATTGGCGGCATCCGCTGGACCCTCACCCAGATTCTCCTGCAGAAGGCGGAACTTGGTGAGAAGGGGCCGGGTGCCAGGCAGGCGCGGTGGAGGCGGGCTGCCCCGGCCTGGCGGCTCACCCATGTCCCCGTTCCACAGGGCTCCAGAACCCCATTGACACCATGTTCCACCTGCAGCCGCTCATGTTTCTCGGGCTCTTCCCTCTCTTTGCCATCTTCGAAGGTAGGTCAGGCCGCCCACCTCGGGCACCGTGGCCCGCAGATCCCCAGCCCCTGCTCTGAGCCCAGCGCTGTGCTCGCTGCAGAGGGTGCCAAGAGCAGAGAAGAGGCCCGTCCCCTGGCCTTGCCTGGACTGGGCAGATGCTCACACCAATGGCCGGAGTCCAGCACGATAAATGGTATCATAGAAAGTGTACGAGGAATAGCAGACAATGGTGACAGTGAATGTGCCCAGCCCTAAAGGTACGCCAGGGCTGTTCTAATCATTTTATATACAACTAACTCTTAATGCTGCCCAAAACCCTACGGGGCAGTGCTATTAACATCCCCATCTCGCAGGCGGAAGAAACTGAGGCCAAGAGCAGTAACGATAACCTTGCTTCGGGTCCCAGGGCTCCTAAAGGAACCCAAGAGTGGGCGCGGGCACAGGCTCCAGAGCCCCTCCTTTCAGCCGTCGCGCTGCGTGCTGCCCCTTGGGCGGAAGGAGGGTCCTGAGTTGTCTCGGCACGGCAGGGTGCAAAGCCAAGTCAGAAAGGCTCCTCCAACAGGGTATTTGCGGGCAGTGATTGGGACTCGGACAGGCTGGTGGGCGCAGGGCATCCCAGGAAGTGGGAACAGTAGGTCAGAGGAGTGTTTGCTGGGTTGGCGGAGCGTGGATTTGGGGGCAGGTGCAGGGGCCCGGGGCCCGTGCTCAGGAGCCTGGGCAGGTGAGCGGTTCCCCTGCACTGTCTTCTCCCGGAGGAGCGGGAGCATTATTTCGACGGCGGCAGGTGCAGCGCCATGCCCCTCCCTCCCATGTTTTGGGATTATTCTTTGTCCTGGAGTCCCTTCTGTTCTACATCCATTTAAGTTTCAAGCAGTGAAGCGTCTCGAACCTCTCTGAGAAAATTATTCCGCAGCCCCGTTGTCCGGGAAACTTCTGTGCTGCCGCCTCATTTTTTTTCCTTTTTAAAATCTCTCCCCATCCCTTCATTATGCCCCCTGCACCAAACGCCACACCGTCCCTCCTTCCCTGGGTGTTTACATGGTTCCCCATCTCTGCAAACCCTCATCCGAAAGCCCCTGGTCGCCGCTGTCACTTAGCAAAGCTGCATGGATTTAGCTCCTTTAATCTTTTCTGTAAATTAATCCCCCAAGCGCCTTCATTACTTCTGTTGCTTTCCCCGAGTTCCCTTCAATTTGCCCGTGCCTCTGCAGAACTGCCGAGCACAGCCCCAGACAAGAGGTCCTGCACTGGGAGGCCCCGTGCCTGTGGGGGATCAGGGGGCAACTCTGTCACTCTGCATTTCTTTGCTGCTTCTCTCCAAAAATCTCACAGCCCCAGGCCAGCCTCCTGCCCCCGAAGGTGTGTCCTCAGTGCCCAGTTCTGGGCTCAGCTCACACCCTGCTCTGAGTGGCCTTTCCTGCAGGGGGGGACCCCGGGATTGCCCTCTCAGAGGTGTGGCACTGGAGAAGTCAGAGCAAAATTTAGTGCCTGGATGCCTGTGTGGGTGTCCCCGGAGCGAGGGGACTGTGTTTTTTGTAGTCTATTTACAACACATTGTTTTTGAGAACTGTTCATCAAATTACACCACCTGTTTGAGAAACCCTGGTCTGGTCCCAACCCTTCCATTTTATTATCAGGGAAACGTGCTCCAGAAACTGGGCATGTGTCTCGGCCCGGTCGCACAGCTGTGCGATAGTAAGGCCTGGATTCAAACGGCTGGGCTTGGTAAGGACAGGGTTTTGTCCCGGTTTATAGGTGGCTCGCCTGAGACTGAGAACAAGGGACTCCCCTTCGCCCCACCGCCCCATGGAGCAGGGAGGGCGTCCACAGCCCTCACCGGACAGGCTGCCCCTCCTCTTTCTGGCCCGTTAGCTACCAACAGCTACCACAGCTGCGAAGGAAGGCCTATGAAGTGCCGCCCTCCTGCCCCTCCACAGGTGGGCGGGGAGCGTCACAGGAAGAGCAGGGCGCCCCCGTGGATTTCCTCTGCGGGCTGTGCCTGTACTTAGCCTGGGGCCCCAGAGTCCTCCCTGTCACTCCCTGTGAGGATCTCCGCTCCTTTCGCCCCGGGGCTCTCTGGCAGCCTGTACCGCTTCCCCGGCCTCCCCCAGCCTCAGGCCATCTGTGTGGGAGTCCTTGTCCTCAGGTGCCCAGGAAGCCTGCCCTGCGCAGGTGAGGTGGCAGGGCTCACCGCCTGCAGGGAGCGTGGGGCCACCTGGCAGGCACACCCAGGACATGGCCACCCCTCTCTCCCCCATTGCCTCCAGGTCTCCATCTGTCCACGTCCGAGAAAGTCTTCCGGTTCCAGGACGCAGGGCTGCTCCTGCGGGTGCTCGGCAGCCTCGTCCTCGGCGGGGTTCTTGCCTTCGGCTTGGGCTTCTCCGAGTTCCTCCTGGTGTCCAGAACCTCCAGCCTCACTCTCTCCATTGCGGGCATTTTCAAGGTACAGACTCAGAGGTGACCCCGGGCCTGTCTTGGAGAGGAGCCCCCCGAAGGTCTTCCTTTACCAGCAGCTCCCGTCCCAGCTCTCACACCCCGGGGCCTGCAGAGGAGGGAGCTCATTCTGGCGCTGGGCGTCATGCTCCCATCCGTACCCCTCCCGTCCTCCCTGCGGGCCTATGAGGTGGGGGTAGCCCGGCCGTCAGACAGGAAGAGCTGCTGCTACCCAAGATAATAGCCGGGTGGCCAAGCTGGGGTGCAGAGTCTGGCTCCACTAGGCTCGGGGCGCATTTGCATTTCACCAGGAGTGCCAGCAGTGGAAGAGAAGTGCCCCACCCCCGTCCAGACTCACCAGTGACACGTTCTCTGATCGACTGGTGACATCTGCCACTGGCAAAGCCAGGGACAGTGCGGTCACAGGTGCCGTGTGCTTGCCGAGCCCGCCTTTCCCACCGCCTGGCAGCGGTCTGGCCCCCCCTCTCTCCCCTTTCCCCTTCCCTCCACCACCACGCCTCCCTCCTCCTCCTCGGGCATGGAGGGCTCCCTCTGTGGCACTGGAGCCGTGTGGCCCGGCAGCAGAAATGCAGGGCTCCCCGGGGGTCTACTGTTGCCGACCAGATGACAAGGCGCACACCGTGGTCCTCAGACTGCGTCCTGTCACGGTGCCACTTGCAGCCACCTTATGCGGCCAACCCCGGGACCCATGCGTGTTCCGCGGAGCCCGGGTGATGTGCACCCTCCGCGGCAGCGGAGGGCCCTCATGGAGGTGCCTCCTGGAAGGGCGGCTTCCTCCTTCCCAGGAACACGGCGCACTTGGTTTGTCTGTCTTCATCCTGACGGCCCTGGGAAGCGCCTCATTTGCTGCCTTTCAGTAACACAGGCGGAAAGCCCTGCCTGCTGGCCTGGTCCTCGGAGCCCCGCGGAAGCTGCTGCCTTGCCCTGCGGGGCAGCCCGCCCTGGCCTGGGAGTTGGGGCAAAGCCTGGCCGCCTCCCATGGGTGTGCTCGGTGCCTTCGCCCTCCTGGCTCAGGGGCCGGCTGATCACTTCCCCTTCCTGCTTCTCTGCCCGCAGGAAGTCTGCACTTTGCTGTTGGCAGCCCATCTGCTGGGTGACCAGATCAGCCTCCTGAACTGGCTGGGCTTCGCCCTCTGCCTCTCGGGGATATCCCTGCACGTCGCCCTCAAGGCCCTGCCCTCCAGAGGTGACCAGGGCCCCTTCAGAAGCCTGTTCCAGTGACACCCTCCCCTGTGACCTCCAGCCCCTCTGATTCACACACCCCAGCCCTGCCAGGAAGAGGCAGGAGGCCCTCAGCTTGCCACAGCAGTGCCAGTCTGCGCCGTTCAGCTGCCTCTGCGCTGGCTGGTGCTCTAATTCAGGAAATGTGCCTGGTGGCTCTGCTGCCACCACCCCTCTGAGAAGACACTGGACTCCTCTCTGAGCAGCTGGGGTGGGGCTGGGTGACGAAGCGCACCCCGCATTGAGAAACACCAAGAAGCCAGTACCTGGTCTGTAACCTGTCTCTCTTTATCCCCAGGGGACAGTGGCCCCAAACCCCCCAAGGGGCTGGGTTCCAGCCCAGACCTGGAGCTGCTGCTTCGGAGCAGCCAGCCGGAGGAGGATGGCAACGAGGCGGCGGAGGAGGAAGAGTACTTTGTGGCCCAGGCATAGCAGTGACCCGCCTCTCCCAACCTTTGTGCCAAGTGGCAACTCAGGGACCCGGTGGCTCCTCACAGCAGCTGGGAGCAGCGGGCCAGAAGTGGCCCCGGGCGGGGACTCGGGAGCACGTGACCACGCAGCAGGGCTGGGTCAAGGAGTTGGTTGACGGCCGAGTGCCCGGTGTGCCTCAGCCCGGCCCGAGTCGGGCCGCACTCTGCTGGAGTTGCAGCAGACGGAGGGAAGGCTGTTTCTCAACTGGCTGCCAGGACCAGGATTCCAGAGGCCTCTCCGAGGGGCCTGGTGTGGACTGCGGAGCAGTTGGGACGGGGACATGGAGAGAAGCTTTTCGCTGGACAGTTTTTCCCCGGAGAGCAGACCTGTTCACGGTTTGCAAATAAAGGGTGTTCTGTCCTCTGGCCGCCTCATGTTGCCTATAGACGTGGGCACCGGGAGGAGCGGTCCTTGCCTGGCCCGTCCCCCTTCTCTGCCCGGGGCCTCCTGCAGGAGACTGGTCACACTCCAGGCCCTCAGCACTGCATCACTTGTGCCCCTGATGGAGCCTCAGGACCCTGTCTGGCAGCCTAGACACACCTGTACCGAGTCCCGTATTCTGGGGACCTGAAAGCTTTCACAGCCTGGATGTGAGTCCTGACTGTGTCACTTACTGGCTGTGTGACCTTAACCAAATTATGTAACCTCTCTGTACAGCTTTGTCATCTGTGAAATGGGGAGAATAGTCGTCTCAGAGTTGTTCTGAAGATAGGAAACAGTTTCGGTGTCATGTGAGTATTTATTTTGAAAATCCTCTCAACGCCCATGGAACCAAGACCCTAAATGAGTGGCCGACATAGGGTTCACGGCCAGCTCTGTGTGACCATGTGTGTGGCCGTTGAATGTACGCGGATGGGTTTGCAGCCTCCGGACCTTCCTGTGGTCACCTACCCTGCACCCGTCACACCACAGTCCGTCCAGGAGGCAGGGAGTCAGTTCCCCTGGCCTGGGAGGGGCTGAGGGCCAGGGGGTCACATCATCCCAAGTAGAAGTGCTTTTAGGCATTCACAGCAGGTGGCGCCATTGCACCATGAGGTGGCTCGGAACTGCCTGACCTACCCTGGGTAACCATCCGATGCAGGCAGGGGTCCTGGGAGGAAGACCATGGATGTCCACCGGTGGTGACTTGGACGGCCTTTGTTATGAATTGTTTTAATCAGATTGGAGCCACGAAAGCTCGCTTTTAAGTCTGGGAGAACATTAATGCTTCAGGAACAGGGCCAGCAAACTTTTTGTAAAGGGCCAGGTAGTAAATACGTCCCATTTGGGGGCCATATGGCCTCTGCTGCAGCCTCTTCAGCCTGTCGGTGGCAGCAGGAAGGCCGCCACTGGCAGACGGACGGACACTAACAGGCGTGGTAGCATCCCAGTGAAACTGACAGAGCAGGGTTGACTTGTTGCCTCAGACCCCTGCTGTAGGAGAAACCTTAAAAATTGAGTCCTGCTCCCAGTCCTGCAGTGAGGGAAACTGAGGCGGGGGTTGGGGGGAGACTAGCCTGAGGTCCTCAGTGCAGACTTCCACCCGAGGTGGTGCCTTATCTGGTTCCTGCACCCCTGGCTCCCTTGGACTCTGCAAGCTCAGAGGCCAGGATTGGAGGGAGTTCATGCTCCGAGCAAGGTGACACAGGGAGAGCCAGCAGGAGGGGCCAGGACCTCACCCCGGCCTCTGCCTGAGAAGCTGCTTGGGCTGCAGGAGAGCTTGCCAGAGCCCCCTCGTCTCAGGTGGGTGAGACCTTCCGTCTGCACCTCCCTTCCCCTCTTCCACTGTCCCCCTCTTCCCACACAGGGAGCAAGAGCTGCTGTCTGGTGCCATAATTACAGGGTACAGAGCAGGGGCCCCGCCGCCTGCATGTTGGGTTCAGTGACAGCCCCTCACTTAGCAGCAATTACCAGCAATCCTAGAGGAGGGCTCCCTACCCTCCTCCCGCTCCTCTCCCACCCAATCACCTGGCCTCCCAGGCCAGACCATGTTCACCCTCAGCTTTGAGCCCTAGAAGCACCTATGTTGTCTGCAGCCATTGCATCTCAGGGCTGCAGTGTTGCCATGGTAACTGCTTGCACAGGTTTCAGGAGGCTGAGGATGTGACTTGTCTCTCCAAGGCTGTGGTGTCTGTCCCCATGAAGCTACAGCTTCAGGGCTTCTGCAGAGGAGGGAGGAGGGGATGAGGGCTGACCTGCAGGCTCCAGTTTTAAGTGCTTACATGCCCACCGACTCTCCCGGGAGCCTCCCGTGCAAGGAAGGTGATTGCCCCCAATATATGAGGAGCCTGCAGTTGCAGTCGTGGTGGGGATGAGAGCCAGGCACGGCTTGCCCGCGGGGCGGACCTGCGGCAGGCAGGACTAGGAATGCCTTCATCTTCACCCCGGTGCCCTTCTCCGCCACCAGGGCTTGGGGCCTTACCTCCATCTGTTTCTGCTCCATTCTGCTGAGAAAAAAAGGAAAATCCCAGGGGCTTGCAAGTGGACTTGATGGAACCAAGAGAATGGTCCTTGTACTCGGTGCAGACTTCGGCATCAGGGACTGGCAATGGACTGAGTCGGGTCCCTGACCTGCAGAGACCTGAGAGTGGGGGCTCAGCTCATCTGTTTGGGTCTCCGGCATCCAGGGGACACCGATGCCACACCAGGCAGTGGGCTGAACTCGGGACAGAGACACTTGTCCTTGGAGAGGTGCAAGTGGGGTCATCCTTCCTTCTAGCCCGGGGGTGTGTTGAGGCAGGGGACCAGGGAAACAGGGAGAAGACCAGAATGGACCAGTCCCTGGACACCCTCGGGGCCTCTCACACAGGCCACCTGCGCAGCCAACCCCAGGGCAGTAGCACAGTGCTGGGCAGGCAGTGATAGCCACCTAGTAAATGTCAGCCATGGGAGACAAGTCATGACCTGCCCAGGGGACACAGCCAGTGAAAGGAGGACAAGCATTGGAGTCCCGGCTTTTAGGGTCACCAACCTTGCCTCTGGGTGGCACAGCAGAGGCACTTACTGGATATTGTTCTGTGAAGGAATTTCCAACAGTGGGAACTAAAGTCAGGGTTTTCCAGGTCTCGGCGACCGTCCTAACCTGAATGGCTGGCCCTGCAAGAAAGCTATTTTCTACCACCACCACCCGTCCCTGCTGGCTGCCAGCCCACCAGCCATGCCCTGAGCCTTCACCCTGACCTCACAGCCCTGACAGCCGCCAGGCCCTTTACCTTGGCTCTGTAGTAACCAGTTACTTTGACTTCTGTTCCCATGGTTATCTGCAGTTTCATTGGCAACTGGTTCATTTCCCAGAAACAGACCCACGGCCTTGGTCCTGCTGGCCTCCTGCTGGTGGGGCTCTCCCTTCCCCTGGGTGTCTGATGAGAGTTCTCCTGCCGGATGACAGCCAGGGAACAGAGAACCAGGAGAAAATGCAGTAACAGGCACTTGATAAATTTTCCTGGTGCCTCTACGATGCTCCCTGCCCCGTGGGAGCTGCTGGAGATAATAGAAGTCATTAAGATGCTGTCGCTGTGCCCAGGAACTTCTGCGGGACCTTTTTAATCCAGTAGGTTCCCTGGGAAGTAGACTTGGGGATGGGGATTAGATGTTGTTTAGAAAGTGGTCGTAGGGGAAACACGGGGGAGGCAGGAGAAGGATGCAAGGTGTGGAGTGAGAGAAGCTGAGTCCCGACCGAGGGCGCAGGGCCTCGAGGAGAGCCCCGAGGTGAGATAACCCTTCAGACATGTCCCAAGGTGGGGTGGGGGGTGAGGGCCTTGCCGTGTCCTCACTGATCTGTCACTGAAAGCGGGCCTACTCCTGGAAGGAGGTGTGACTTGGAGTGAGGCTGTTCTCTCCCAGTCCAGAGAATCTCCAAAGAGGGCTTGCAGCGGAGGGCCGCCCTCCAGCCCCACTCCTGGCAGCTGGGGAATCAGCCTTCTGTTCTGAGGTGTCCACACCGGGTATCCAAGCCTGGCTTCCAGGATGACCAGAGGTCCCTGAAGAGGGAGAGAGAACATCTGGCAAATACATGCCCATGGGCATTTTTTCTGGGGAAGGGTGCTTGGCCCCCAAAAGAATAAGAACCACTAGTCTAGGGAAAGCCAGACTTGTCCAAAACTTCCAAACAACATGATCGGAGATGTTGATACAGGCAGTTGGTATAGATGATGATGGATGGATGATGGACAGATGGAGGTGGGCGGGTAGACGGATGGGTGAATAAATGCCGTATTTGGAGAGTGAATGGGAGGTGCAGACAAAGGAGCAACCAATTCGGCCCCGGGCAGGAGAGCAAAGATATTCGGGAGGAGCTGTCCACACTGAACTGAGTCTGGAAGGCTGAGTGCGAGTCGCCAAGCAGACACGAGAGTTAGGTCACGGGGGTGGGGGGCTGATGGGAAGACAGAGGGCAAGGAGGGTGTGTTGGGCACTGCAGGGGTTACTTAATCCGGGGGGAAGGGGAGGGGCCTCCTTTGCAAAGCCCCCAGTCCTGCAGGCAGGCAGGCAGTAACCTGATAGGACATGTTCTCCCAGGTCGCTCTTAAACCAGCAGGTGCCCTCTCCCTTGCCCCTCCTGCCGACACTCACCAATTTCCTGTGTCTCTGCGTGGGGAACGAGGGGTCCCAAATACATTGCCACATACCTGAGAGGCATCAGATCATTCACCACATTCTCTCCCACCCCTGACTCCATTCCTGCAGCCCCGCCCTGGAAGTTGGTTTTACTTGACACCCCACTTTCCCGATGAGAAACGGCTCGGAGAGTCTAGGCCACCCGCCCGAGGTCACTCACCTCACCAGCCCCCAGGTGCGGCAGGACCTCCCTGGGGCTCACACGTCCCAGGCTGCCCTGCACATCGCTGCAGCCTGGCCTTCTGGCTGGGTCGGCAGCAGGGGCCCGGGCACCCTCCTGGGACTGGTCCAGTTAGGGACATAAAGAACAGCCCCCCGCAGGGGGCCGAGGGGCTGCAGGGGCAGCATCCCACTGGCCCTATTTTGCTCTGGGAGGAATCCCCCACTGAGCCAGAGCCTCCGTCCTGTGGCAGGGCTGCCCCATGAATTAAACATGCCCCCGTGGTTCGCTCAGTAATGCTTTTATTAATAGTTAATTACTCAACGCGCACTGGGGAAATGAGACTCACTCAGGCCTCGTAAATTAAGACAGTGATCTTGTGAAGGAAGCCAATGGGAGTTCATTACCCCAGCCCCTCCTTGCCGCATCTCTGAGCTTGCCATTTAGCAGCGCTAAACGAGGCGTGTGTGGGCGGGGGCGGGGGACAGGGACCTTCTCAGGGTGGAGCTGGGGTGGAGAGAATGAACACCAGCAGTTTCCCGGGAGAGAACGGCCCAAGAAGCAGAGCGGAAGTGTCCGCTGGAGATGTTATTCCTGTAGCCTGTCACCAGCCTCTGCTCCCTTTCACTGCCAGGGACTCAGCTCGGCCTCTGGGGACCCCCATACAGGGCCACCGGCCGTGGGTGGGGTCTCCCTGTTGCAGCGCAGGGGCCAGGAGCAGAGCTAAGGCACCCTGTCTGCAGCCTCCGTCCTCCCTCCCCTACCACGGCCTTTCCCATTTCACCAGTGTGGAGCCGTCGCCCCTCGGGTTGGGTTGTGGCCGAAACCACTGCCCCATCCTGGTTTTGCAGCTGAGCTGGAGAAGGGACTTGTTCTCACCTGGGCTGACTTTTCTAAATTTAACTTCCTCCCATGTTCTGTTTCCCGGAAGTCACCCCCCTCCCCACCCCCCAACTCCCGCTCC